GAGCAGCTCGTACAGGAGGCTGAGCGCAACAACGCCTTCCTGGCCACCAGACCTGTCGGCAAGGACGACGCCAACGAGGCCACTCTGCGCCAATTCCGTCGCCTCATCGACAAGGGCAAGGTCAGGCAGGCCGTTCGGCTCCTGACCGAGCGGGAAGGGGGAGGCGCGCTGGACCCCAACGACCTGGCTGAGGCCGACCCTGCGGGCCGCACCGTTCGGGAGGTCCTCGAGTCGAAGCACCCTGCCCAGAGTGACCCTGACCCATCCTGCTTCCTCGACCGGCCCCTCCCTCCCCTCACCCAGGTCGAGATCACCGCCAACCACATCGAGCGAGCGGCACGGGCAACGAAGGGAGGCGCCGGCCCTGTTGGTGGCGAGTCATCGGTCTGAAAGATTCTCCTCCTCAAGTGCGGCGCGGCAAGTGCGGAGCTGCGCAGTGAGTTAGCGGCCATGGCCTCACGCATCGCCAACGAGGACGTGCCCTGGGAGCAGCTGCAGGCCCTGCGCGCATGTCGGCTTATCGGCCTGGACAAGCAACTAGGTGTGCGGCCCATCGGGATCGGGGAGGTCCTCATGCGCATCATGGGTAAGGCGATGGCCAAGGCGGTCGGGGTGAATGCGGAGATCGTGTGCGGTGCGGACCAGCTGTGTGCCGGGCTCAAGGGGGGCGTGGAGGGTGCCAATCACGCGGTCTCCGGCCTGTTTGACTTGGGAGGCGTAAAGTGCGCGCTGCTGGTGGATGCGACGAACGCCTACAACACGATGAATCGCGCTGCCGCCCTGTGGAACGTCCGCATTTTGTGGCCGCGGTGCTCACGCTTCCTGTTCAACACCTATCGCGGCCATGCGGCCCTCTACATGCGCGACCAATCCGCGCCGCTGTGGAGCCGAGAAGGGACCACACAAGGCGACCCCTTGGCCTCCCTCTTCTACTCTGTGGCCACCCTTCCGCTCGTGTGGGAGATGAAGCGGCCAGCAGAGGAGGGCCCTCAGGCGTGGTTTGCCGACGACTCCGCCAAGGTGGGAGGCCTTCAGCCGGTGCGCGACTGGTGGGATGAGCTGTAGCGGAGAGGGCCACTGAGGGGCTATCACCCCAACGGCAAGAAGAGCAAGCTGGTGGTGCGGGCGGGGTACGAGGAGCGGGCGGAGAGGTGTTTGGCGATACTGACGTGGACATCGTGAGTGGCGCTCGATATATGGGGGGCTTTGTGGGGACCGCAGAAGGCAAGCGGGCCTACGCCACTGAGAGGGTGCAAGAGTGGCAGCGGTGTGTCAACCGGATGGTGGACGCAGCGGCCAAGTACCCGCAGGCAGCCCACACGGCACTCACAACGTCTCTGCAGGCCGAGTGGAATTTCTTCATGCGGGTGATGCCTGAGGAACGAGCGACATTCGAGCCGCT